ATTTTCCATTAAAACAAATATTAATTTGAAAACTCAAATAAGCAATAACAAAATTGTAATGTGGAACCTTAATTCCCCACTGTCACAAACTAGACAAAAATCGACAAAGAAATAACAGAATTTAACCAAACTTGTGAACAAATGGCGTTAGTAGACATTTACAGTGTTCTACACAACATCAGAATACACATTCTTTTCAGCTGCAAATTCAAAGGCCCAATCCAAAAATGGGCATCTGAGAGTTATGTACACTTCTTAGATGAAGAAATATAAATAGAAAATAAATATATGAAAAATGTTCACTATCATTGGTCATTTGAGAAATGCAAATTAAAACTATACTGAGATTCCATCTTATTCCAGAAAGAAAGGTTATCATCAAGAAATCAGTCAATAACAAATGCTGGAGAGGCTGTAGGAGAAAAAGGAACCCTGCTCCACTATTGGTGGAAGTGTGGACTGATGCAAGTACTGTGGAAATCAGTGTGGAGATTCCTCAACATCTTAGAATTAAGGGTGCCATTCAACCCCCAGCTAATCCCCATCTGAGTATTTTCCAGCATAATGGAAAACATGAAACCACAGCAATAGATGTTCAACTATGTTTATAGTAGCACAATTTATAATAACCAGATAGTCTAAACAACTTTAACTCCCATCCACTGAGTACTGGATAAAAAAGATGTGGTATTTTCATAGAAAACAACACTACTCAGCCTGCCACCCATCCCCACCTTGAGGAGTATCAGGTAGACTCAGCAGCCCTAGTGCCACCTCCACAGCCATCCCACCAGAGTTACCCTGAGTCTAGCAGCCAATCCTCACCCTGAGACTGCTGGAGAGACTTGGCAAGGCAGGCCTAACCCCAACCTCCAGCTGTCCCATGAGAGTTCTGCTGAGTTCAGCCACCTGTCCTCACCCTGAAGACTTTCAGAGGAGACCTGGTAGGCTAGCCATGCCCTCCTCAGCCTGTCTGCTGGAGTTTCACTGAGCACAACCACTGAACCTTGACCTGAAGACTACCAGACAAGTGTAACTACTACAGCAACCTGGAGGAGCCTTGGGGAACACCACCCTGACTCAATACAACATCAAGAGAGCTTTATACAATTTCAGCCTACACTCAACATCATCAGATCCTCCTTGAAATGTGGCTTTACCCCTCTCTCCTTAATGAGGCAGAAGCCAGTTGAACCCCAAACAAATGGAACTTTCATGAGCCAAACTTGCCTTCCCATACTTTGGAAAGCCTTGCTGACCCATATCCCACCCACCTACCATTATGGCAAAAAAAAAAAAGACAAAATGAAGGAAGAGAAGGCAGTCTCAAACCTCTAGCCCACCCAAAACAAGTCCAGGAGACAAAGTTGCAGAAGAACTTGAAAGACACACACCTGAAATTTCTGAGATGATAGTGCAACTGAAGTAAAGAAAGCCACTCCATCAGGCCATGGAGGAAATCAGATCAGAAATAATCTCTCAGGTAAAAAAAGGAAATGGCAACAAGCATGAAATAATAGCTCGATACATCTAAGGAAGCAGAAGCACAGATTTAAAAAAATAGAAGGAAATAGAAAAATGATGGAAACATTGAATGAACAATACAGGAAAGAATTAGAATGCATGAAATAGATTCAAACAATTATCCAGGACCTTAAGAATTCCACTGAAAGCTGGCAAAACCACTTGAATGGAACAAAAGATAGAATTTCAAATCTTGAAGATAGCATTGTAGCTAGTGAATACCAAAGAAAACACCTCTTAAAATTAACAAGAAGACTGGGCATGGTGGTGTGTGCCTGTAGTAATCCCTGCACTTGGGAGGCTGAAAACAGGAGAATCATTGAGTCCAATCTGTGTAGTAAAACCCTGTAGATCCTGATATATATATATATATATATATATATATATGGAAGAGAGAGAGAGAGAGAGAGAGAGAGAGAGAGAGAGAGAGAAAGACCAGAAAAAATACAACAGCTGCAAGACTAATGGGTATCAATGAAACAGCTGGAGATCATAAATAAATAAAAGATTTTTTTAAATGTCAATAGAGGTCTCCAAACATCACCACAGCATATACACTCTTCTCAAGATCACACAAAATATTCTCCAGTATAAAACAATACTAGGTAAGTATTAACAAACTTCAACACATTCAAAAGGCTAAATCTATGCAAAGCATGTTCTCTGGTGACATAGAACAAAATTCGGGGCTGGGCAGATGGCTCAGTAGAATAAGTGCTTTCCTGGCAAGTGCAAGGGCCTGAGTTCAATACCCTGTTCTGCCAAAAAAAAAAAAAAAAAGAAAAGAAAAAAGAAGGAAAAAAAGAAAGAAAGAAAGAAAGAAAGAAAGAAAGAAAGAAAGAAAGAAAGAAAGAAAGAAAGAAAGAGAAAAGAAAATTTGAATCCAAAAATATTTTTTTTTTTTACCAGGGATCAAACTCAGGGCCTTGCATTTGCCAGGCAAGCACTTACTCAACTGAGCTATCTCCCTGGCCCCCAAAAGGAAAATCTCTGAGAAATTCAAAGATAAATAGATACATGAAAAATTTTTCCCAAATAAACAAGTGAAAAAGAAACAGCATACCAAAAATTATGCGATACAACTATAACACAAGTTAGAGGAAAATTTATAACTATAAATGTCCAATCAATTTTTCAGACATTAGCACTACCAAAATTGACCTACAGTGTAATTCCTATCCTAATCCTAGCTGATTCTTTTGTAAAAAAAAAAAAAAAAAAAAAAAAGACAAGATCATTCCAAAATTTATGTGGAATTGTACATGAAAAATAGCCAAAGAATCCTGAAAAGGAAAAATAAAACAGTAGGACTCAAACTCCTCAATTTCAAAACTTACAGACAAGCATAATACTAGGTACTTACGAGGCTGAAGCAGATAGAGCACAAGCAATTTAGAAGACGTTCTTTAAAACTAAAATTTACAAATAAATCTGAAGTGTGGCTCAGTGGTAGAGGGTTTTCTTAGCTTGCTTGAAGCCATAGCTCAATTCTCACCACAGTAAGGGTAAAAAAATTACTATGAATATCCAAAACAACAGTGTATTGATCAGCTTTTGCATTGTTTGGACACAATACCTGACACCGACTACTTAAAAGAAGAGAGGTTAAATTTGGCTCACAGTTTTCAGGGGCCCAGCAGGTCAGCCCAATGGTGGCAGGGGGGACACATCATGGTGGAAGAGTATGGCAGAGCAAAGATGTTAAGTGGTTCATGGTGGCCAGGAAGCAGAGCAGGGGAAAGGCACCAGAGAGGAAGGGACCAGAGACCATCTAAGTTACCCAAGGTCATGTTTCTGGGACCAAGATACACCCAAAAGAATAGACCACCAATCTTTAGGTCAGGTCTCAAGGCATCCAAATTGAAAAATAGCCTAATCACCAGAAACAGTAATCAAGACAGTGTGACATGAGAAAAGAACATCAGACCAACTGAATAGAATTGAGGCTCTAGCTCCTGTAAGGGCAACTGATTTGTAACAAGAATGCCAAGGTTATCCAATGGTGATGCTTTAAAAAAAATGATGCTGAAGGATAGACTGATGTCAAGACAACTAGGTAGCTATATACAGAAGACAAAGTTGGACTCTTATCTCATTCTGTACACAAAAATTAATTCAAAAGAAGTCAAAATCCTAAATGTTAGAGCAAAAGATATAAAATCTTAGAAGAAAATGTACAGAAAAATCTCCATGACTTTAGTTTTGGAAAAATATACTTAACTATGAAACTAAGAACATATACAGGGCTGGGGAGATGGCTCAATGGAATAAGCGCTTGCCTGGCAAGCACAAGATCCTGAGTTCAATCCCCAGTACTGAAAAAAAAAATCTAAAAAAAAGAACATGTACAACAAAAGAAAATATTGTGAACGTCACTAAAATTCTAAACTTGCTTCAACAGACATTATCAAGAAAAATTTAAAAACAACCAAAGAATGGAAAAGGTATGTGTAAGTAATATAAATTTTTTGTATCTAGAACACATAAAGAACTCTTGGGCTGGCCAGATAGCTCAGCAGATTAAAGCACCTGCTTAGGCAGATGCAGGGACCAAAGTTTGATCCCTGGCATGCCACACTGGCCCCACCCCCGGGTATACTGAGCTGGCCACCAAGACCAGGCATGGTGGCACACACCTGTATCCCAGAACTTGGGAGGCTGAAAACAGGGTGAGC